GGTTTTCCTGTAGAGGCTGTTATGCAACTAGAAACATCTTTCAGGGAGGGAAAACCTTTTGCTAGACAGGCTGTTATAGCTTCCATGTTCTCTGTAGGTGGTTTGCACAGTTTTGCTCTGGAAGCCTGTGAAACCTTCACAAAATCTGAGGTGGGTCTTGATTCCTCTGCCTACAATGTTGCAATTTATGTTTATGGAGCTTTTGGGGAAGTAGAGAGCTTTGAATATTTTCATGAAAATGCAAGACAGGGGAATTGCACCTGTTCTTGTTACTTTTATTAATCTGGTAGTTTGTTATGGAAAAGCTGGAATGTTGGAAGGAGTGAAGCGGATCCACAGCCAGTTAAAATACGGAGAGATGGAGCCCAATGAATCCTTGTTTAAGGCTGTTATAGATGCCTACAGAAGTGCCAATAGGCAGGACCTTGCTGAATTGGTTGGCCAAGAAATGAAATTTGCATTTGATGCACAAGAATATCCTGCTTCAGGAAGTGAAGATGAGTCTGATGTGTGTCCCATACACTTGTTGGAGCCTTCAGAACTCATGGATACCATGGAGATTAAGTGATTGTGCTGATTATGATGTACCATGATGTTGTGTTTATGGAAGTGGTCGTTTTATCTATTAATGTACAGTATGAGCGTATGCCGGTAACAGAATGGAAGACACTTTCATGTGGATTAGGGGCTTCTCTTCGTACATGCACAACATTTTTGTAACCCTTTGTTTGGCTCAAAAGAATTATTGAAGCCAAAATACCATTATTTCAATGAAGAAAATTATTGTTTAACAGAATTTGCTTTTGTATTGTTCGGGTTATGTTCTGTATTTTAATCATGCATATTCAATGAATAAATCTGTCCAGACTCCCATAAGCATTGTTTCGGACAGAACAGGACCGACCTTTTTTTTTCTGTAGGGCTGTTATCCCAGGCTAGTGGGTTGTAATTTTGGTGTTTRGATTTATTTATTTTTATGCTTCTTTGTTTTTTGGCCTTCTTGTTTTTGTAGATAAACAAGAATGTTGATTTAGTTCTCATTTTTGGAAAGCTGGACCTCTTTTTGCAGTCAGTTTTGATCTGTAATGTCAGCTTCATAACTGATCCAATCCCCAAAAAGGAAGAAAAAGAAAATCTATGGACTTAGTTCTTGCCATGTGTTCAGATCCATTGCTGTACTTGGTGTTGAAGGTCGTCTTATTGCAATTGATTTCTTTGTTCTTTTAAGGACTTTTTTATCATCCTTGAGCTGTTATTAATGTATGCGTTCTTGCAGATTTATTGCTATGTTTCAGTATTGAAGCTGCATTTTTTGAATTGAAGAATTAAGAAGTTATATTTGATGGATGGTGATTGTTCCAATGGATAACTTGTAACTTGTTAGCTCCTTCGTCAAGGAAGCATGTTAAACATCTTTACAACAAGGTATGCCAGCATGTTCGCTTGCTTCGCTCACTCACTGAAGCTCCGAGAACACCCTATTTGCTAATGTTGTTCATTCATTCACCTTAGTAAAATATCTTCTTAAAAGGCAATTAAAATTATAAAATTATTTTTTTTTGTGCAAGAATTTAAGACTCTAACATGGACTTGTTTAGGCTTGCATTTGAGGGGCTTGGTACAAAGGTGGCTCGTAGATTCAAGAATGCAAGATAAGATGTTTTACATCACATTAGCTATTTGAAGTAATGCAATTGAGGAAAAAAAGAAATTGTAGGTTTTACATGCTTGAAAATGTTTTATATGTTTAATTTTATTTTTAAATTTTCATTTGAATACACTTAATATGTTATGTCTATGCATTTTAATTTTAGAAATATGTTTTTAAAGTATTTATTTTAAAATATAAGTTTATATTTTTATTAATATTATGTTTAATTTTAATTATTTATTTATTTTGGTATTTTTTGTATTTTTGCGTCTTGCTTTGAAAAGTCACGCGCCTCACCTTGCGCGCAAATTGCCCCTTACACTGTTTTTTTGCGCCTTGCAATTTTTAATCACTGAACCAGAACAAAAAAATAGTAAAGCTGTTTGAGGTTCTCTTCCAATCAGTAGTGTGCTGTACTGAGTTGCCATAAACAAGGGGACTACATCAAAATGGTCAAGTTCCTAACTCTCTCTCTAAAGAACAAATACTATTGTTCCTTGCCTCAGTTTATCCAAACTTCCCTTTTATTTTTGCAAAACAGAAACTATATACTAAAATATTCTTTGTTATTTCTTTTATTTGCATGGCCAGTCTTTAGTAGCGTATATATTCCATGAATTGTATTAAATTTTTATCCTGTTTTTGTGGTCAACATGTCAATGCCTAGGCACACTTCAGCCATTCCATCACCAAGGGAAGTCAAAAATGGTTAGCCCTTGCTTCACTTATTGATTGCATTTCTCCTTGTTTACATTTCTTAGGGTGGTTAAGGGTTACTCTGGTATTTGTAATGGTTAAATGTTCTCTTTCATATTTTTTCTGTTTTTTATTTTTTAATGGGGGTCTGGTTCTATTGCATGGTGCTATTTTTGCATTTTCTTATCTTTCTGATATTGTTTTTTATCTGTATTTTCTTGCTGACTTCAATACATAATTTTTGGAATTTGATTCCTTAGTTGACCAGGGTGTCACAATTTCTATTTCAGCTCTTTGAAATGTAGCCTACTGTCTATATTCTGGTCAGTAGTAGTACTTGTCTACTTTCTATGAAGATGAACAACTATTCCTCTTCATTTAAAAATTTCTATTTACAGCTACATAAAAGGCATGTAAAATGTCTATGCATTTCATGGAAGATTTAGGGAGGGAGTTGAAAGTCAGATTACCTTTTCTGGACATGCAAAAAAGGACCATTAATATGTTTAGAAGTCATACTAGGAGTTCCTAGAGCTGTTCATATCTAAGAAGGCATTAAAATGGTTCTTGAAAATGTGTTAATATTATCTTTAGAAAGGAAAAWAAAGTAGTTTGTATTATGCTCCATTAGTTAATTTTCAACTACAGGTCTTGTGGTAATTTTTAATTATAGGTCTCAACCATTGTATTGGATGCTTGTTATATTTATTCTTCTTGTCTACATCAGTCGTAGTTTTCTCTTACTGGTTAACAAAATTAGTGGCAATAGAAACCTACGGAAATGGAAACTCCTGCACGAGTTCTCCATGTATTTGAAAATTTAAAGAAACAACAATATACTTTCTGGGGTAGTTTAGTCATTTGGAGTTAGTTAGAGAAGAGATAAGAAGCTATGAAAAAGATCATTTTTTATAAGTAAAAGGAAAAAAAAATTATTAAAAGAAAAAAGAAACTGAATACAACCTCAGAGCAGGTGTTAAGATAACACCCCCAGACCACACAACTACGACCAACCAACAAGAACAACAAAAACAGAGAAAGCAAAAGAAACACATCATTTCTGCAACTCCGTGCCAACAAAGCGATGCACCTGCAAAGCACAGGTCAATCTTCCACCTCACCGAATTGGCCTCCCTCCTCACCCCAAGATTCACCCCCTAACTCTTCAGAGACCTTTCTCAAGCTTTCTTCTCTCSTTTTTCTCTCCCCCCCCAAGAAGAACAATTCCAAGGATTTACCAACTTCCACCTCTCTATYGATTAGAGTCTTCAAATACATGCCACCTTTCATCTCCTTATCCTTCGGTACCTCCTTAGGAGAGACCTCACTCGAATCAGACTCATCCCCCACAATTTTCTCTGACAAGTTTAGATTAATCGACTTCTCCTGGTTAGAACCATCTTGACGAGGCTTATTTCTGATCCCACTGGATGAAAGTGAAGAAACCGGGCAATATTTCTCCTGACTCGAAGAACTTATTTTAATACTTATTCTTTTATAGATATTTTTATACTTGTCGGTCCAGCTCCCACCAGGCCCTCCTTTACCCTTGACAAAACTTTCGTGATATGCACTACATTGAGTTTGCTTGAATTTCTGGTCTTMTTTGGGATTTCCGAAGCATCACTATTGTCTACTACACTCACCTCTTATCCCCTGCAACCCAAATAAACTCCCAACCTTCAAACAAACACATCCAAGACCCGGTAATCGGTGTTGATCCTATGTCCCTCGACTTGACTTACATTCTCTAAGTCAGAGGCCTGCTTGCCCTCAACTTCTGGAAGAGTCCCTTTCTTCCCTATTCCCTCCCTCATTCCAAACCTTGTGATTTTCCTCCACTTCCTCCACCCCTGCCTCCGCCCTAGCTTTACTCGTAACCCCTGATCCCAGATCCTTTTCTGAACTTCCTCCCTCTAAACTAGAAACAGAGTCCCTAAACTCCTGGCTTTAACTCTACACAGAGCACTCTCCCACTCATCTCCCCCCTTGCCTTACTCTTGTGACATGTTTCCCCTCCCCATTCCCACGTAAAGAGTGAATTCCATGTGACAATTTGTGGATCACAATCTCACTTGCTAATCCCTACAGGTTCCTGTAGTAGGTTGGCTACCTTACCTAAAACAATCATCATATTGGTACCTAGTCCCTATTGTTGGAAAGGCTTGGCTTCAAAACTGAATGTGGGGCTTCTGCCTCGTACTCCTCTAGGGATGGAGGTAGGCCCAGGCACCCAGCCAGGCCTGTGTGGTTAAGGTTGTTGGACAGGACCTCATTAGAATAGAATGAGAAAATGATTTTTCCTTGTTCTTCTTCATTTGTATCTTGTTAGGCTTATTATCGAATAAAAAAACATAACATACTAATAGAATATATAGCTTTGTAATAATATATTATTTTTTGACTTGTACCTTTTAAATAAAGGGATAAAGTGGGTATGTTCATAAAGTTAAATTTTGATGGGAGTAGCTTTGGCAATCCAGACCCCTTAGATGTTACTGTGGAGGGCTTTTCAGGGATAAGAAAGGTCATATCCTAGCATTGTTCTTGGGTCTTGGTGGTGTTGGTGATTCACCATGGTTGAACTGTTGGCTGTTTATGTGGAGTACAAAAAGCAAAAGAAATGAATATGGAGAGGATACTTATTAAAGGGGATTTTCAGGTGGTGGTTGGTTGGCTAAAAGATGAGAAGAATGCAATTCAGACTTATAGAGAGGTTTTAAAGAATATATTGTTAACAAAGTGATGCAGGAACATGTGGGCCACGTAACCTTGCTAGCAGTGGGTTCCTATTGGAGTTGGTAAGGGTGAGAAAGGGAAAGGACCCACAAGATTTAGCAATTCTAATCATTCAGATGGGGGTACTTCTAAAGGTGGCAGCAACTCTAATCTTTGTTGCTTCACATGTGGTGAACAGATGCATGCTTCTTATACCTGCCCACATTGAAGAGTTAACTTAGTGGAGTTTGATGATGAAGAAAATGAGTTGGGGGAACCTGAATATGATTGTTATGAAGAAGAAGAAGATGAAGGTATAGACATTTACCCAACTCAAAGTGAAAGTTTGGTGATTCAAAGAGTTATGATGTCACCAAAAGTTAAGGAGGCTGAAGATTAGCGGTGACATAACATTTTCCACACTCATGTTACTTGTGATGACAAGGTCTGTAATGTCATACTTGATGGGGGCAGCAGTGAGAACTTGGTATCTAGGGAAGCTGTGGAGAAGCTAAAGTTGCCTATGGAGAAGCAYCCAAATCCCTACAAACATTAAGGGATGAAAGGGCCAATATCTATTGGACTTTCAGTGGCCCAATAGGCGTGGCAGATTCCACAAAGGC